AACGAACGAACACGTACTAATAACTAAGTTACGTACGTACGTAACTACGACACGTACGTAACGTAGTAAGTAAACTAAAAACGTAAACATTATATATATATATATATATATATATATATATAGAGAGAGAGAGAGAGAGAGAAAGAGAGAGAGACAGAGAGACACAGAGACAGTTGCATGGGTTATATGTGCATGTGTGCACGCGGCGTGCGTATACTATTCACCCACTTCAAAAAGGGTTAAGCTACGTTCATCTCAACTACAAATAGCTATTCGCAAGGTACTTTTCATCATTTTAACGAAAATTAAGAAGGCAGTAAGCATTAGCATGTAGTTGTATATGAAGGATTACATGTGGCAATTGGGTACCACACCTTTTGCAAATTGAATGCCAAGCATTACTCTGTGATTTATTTTATCATTTCTATAGAAAAATAAAGAAAAGTCATCATGTCCATTAATAGATGTAGGATAGAGCTCATTGAATCCTATTTCTATGTTCTATGGTGTTCAAGAGTCACGATAAGACTGAGCCAAGTCAAATCAACTGGGTGCCGAGTTACCGAAATCTTGTATATGTGTACTTCCATGCAAATGAATGCTTCTATTGGGTAACTGTGGACCACTTCAACTTGATAGCAACTAATTCAATAAATCCAATTCTAGTGATCTTCTGGTATTCCTAGATCTAATGTCACTTAAACCAGAAATAGACCGCTTTAGCTCAAACTAATGAAATTGGCCAACCTAGTCCAACAATAGCACTGATCATATTCATATCTGCCATCAGAGCCACACACTGTGTACTCTTTTTCCCTTAGATTTTTTTTTTTTTTTGGGTAGTTCAGTGATAGTAATTGAAGTTGAGAATTGAGATGTAGCTTTACTAATGTCAACTGCTAACAACTCACGCCCAAGCCAAAGACCGATTCCTATTTTCTCTTTGAAATCTCACAGCTCATCTGCCCACGAATAACTTTACGTATGAAAATACAAGTCAACACATCACTAACATTACACATCAATAACGTTGCACTTAAAGCTGCTAATCATTGTTATTTGAGTGGGAAATTGAAATCAATAATATGTAACTATTCAATACAACGTCTTGGAAGAGAATAATTCACCATTGCTCACCCAACCCAGTGAGAGCCCTACAAGCAGCCTCTTCGCTATGGTAGCATCATCAAAATTAACATCCAAAAAAATTATGAATTATGAACTTTGTTCTGTACGACTCTACCCTTATTATCAAATGTATATTACCAACATCCAATGTGTTTCCTAGCATATATAACTGTTTCAAGCTATTGGTCATCCATCTTGCTACCTATACTTCATGAATAATTCCTCAATGTTTGATGAAATTGTCACTTCAATTTGCATCACTTCCCACACAACTTGCATGCTAAGATCCTATTTCATCAACTTCTACAGATCCCAATAATGGCCAACAATAACATTTGGCTAAGGACGCATATGTTGTAGAAGATGCTCCAACTGCAACCCCATCACCATAAATATTTATATTTTGTTAGAATTTTTCCATTAATCATATATAAGTTTGAAGTCTGAACATTTACATGTGTAGCAACTAAGTGGCATTCAAGCTCCCATTGAAACTCCTAATGGACAGTTTGTATATTTACCAACTTCTCACTCCTGCTTTAATTAGGTTACGGCCCTTAAAGTTGCTACAGTCAAATACGAAAGGGCTCTACTTCATTCACTATATCAAAGATTGTTTTCTTTTTACCCATTAAATCATCATTCACACTGTCTTGATCATCAGTTCTTTTCATTCACTAGATTTCTTATAAAACCCCATTATGTAGCCAGCTCCTCAGGCTTTTGAAAATAATATAAGGATCCAAAGAAGAACTGTAAGAATAATAAACAAACTGAAGCTTTTCTTTAAAGAACAATGGATAGCTGCTAGTATAAATTATGGAATGAAGCATGTACAGTAAACAAATTTAGAAGAGATGGATGCTCACCTCCTCGATGATCTTCACTGCCACCCTATCCTTCACACTACCTCCGGGGTTCAAAAACTCTGCTTTTGCGAGAATCTGAAATCACAGTAGAATGGATTATCAACGTTGCCTTTAGAGGAAAACTCATACATTTTTATTAAAAATTTTGGTTAGTAATCCTTTCCCTACCAACAATTTCGCCAAGAACAAGGGAAATAACATACAAAAGGAAACACGGGAAAAATAAAGAAGTACCACTTGACAAAACAACCTCAGTTTAATTATATCAGCATAAAGGAGGTAAACACACATAAAGTTTCAAACTTTCCCATCATAGACTCCTTTTTTTGCCTTTTTTTTTTGGGGCAGCTAGAAATTGAACCTGAGATGTAGTACTGCAAAGTGTCAGCTGCTAACCGCTCAAGCCCAACCCCAATCCCTACCAATTATAGACTTTTGAGTGTGAAAATGTGAATTTCTCTCTCTCTTCGAAGATAAAAAGGAGCATTTTTTTAGCTGATCGTCCAAGAGTTAAGTGTGAAAAAGTGAATTTCTCTCTCTCTTTGAAGATAAAAAGGAGCATTTTTTTAGCTGATCGTCCAAGAGAGAAGAAATGAAAAACTTCAGATTTTGGGGTCTCACCTTACAACCAGTGGCTTCAGAGAGGCTCTTGATTAAGATGAGAGGGGTGTTTCCAATGGCCCCAATCAACCCATCAACCGTCATATCTCTGCAAAAGATTTCTTGGGGTTTTCTCAGAGAGAGAGAAAAACACTTTTTATACACTAAAAGGCCTGAAATCAATGCTGCTACCATTGCCATGGAAGCAGCGGCGATGGCCCCTGCTGAGGTTACAGAAGCCATGGCTGCTGCTACCACTCAACTAAAAAATTTGGTGACTTCAAAACATTCCTCCCAGACTGAGGCGCGTTACCAATTTCCTTCTAAAATTTCATGTACCTCAGCTCTGGAGCAACTATATCCTTTTTCGCTTCCCTAAGTATTCCTTTTAGGTTACTTTTTCGCGTCCCAAGTATTCCTTTGTTTAGAGCTGAGGCTCTAAACATTAGGTTACTTTTCCGTTTCCCAAGTACTCCTTTGTATAGAGCTGAGGCTCTAAACAATCAAAATAGAGCCCATCTTCAAATAGTATCGGAAAATGTGGTTTCAATATTGAAAATCTTTTTGTTGGCTTTGAAATAGATTTTTACTTTTAATTATAAAATTTAAAGAGTAAAAAATAGTGTAGATCGAGTATATTTATGAAATCTTGAAAATTGATGGTCTAAAATACGTTACAAGATGCACTATTTCCACAACTTGAAAATCCATTTTTTTCTCTTATTCATGCATCTTGCAGTCTATATAATCAATTTGAGGATATTTGGGTATCAAACAACCACTTTTAGTGAACTTTTTGAGGTAGGCTCTAATTTGATTGTTTAGAGTTCTATATAAACTTCTTCCTTCTCTAAATTCTCCTCTAACATCATTTCCTAGTACTTTCCGCAATAGACGGGTAAGCCATTGGCCCATTTCCAAAATACCCATTTTAAGTTATGAAGTCAAAATTTTAAACTCTTTTGTTGCTAATTTTATATCTTTTTTATGTTTTTTAAATAACTTCAATTGAAAGATGAGTATATTTCATAAACATCTTCTTCCTTGATGATTTTTTTTTGGGTAATCCAGTGGGAAAGACGTGCCCCTAACCTTTTTTTCAAATAGTTTAAGAGTTAGTTTTTTCAAGGTGTTAGTAGGGTAGTATCTATGGGACTGAAAATTACAACATGGTTGATTTGGGTGTGGAGGTGCTACCACCATGACCCCACCTCCTTTCCTTGAAAAAAGAGTAAGCTACTTTCATTTTCGATTTAAGCAATTGAAATCAAATTTTTTGAATGGGAATTAGTCTTTCTTTTATTGGGTTATTTTTTAGAGAGTTTATTGTTGTTTCTTCCAGAAATTTTAGAGGGTAGAATGTCTACAATGATTTTTCCTCTATCTTGGTATAGGTCATTCTGCTCTATCAAGGATCATACACTCATTCATATCATAAGTTATCATATTTCTTCTCACTATTTTCATCTATATCCTTTTAGAATATTCCCCTTGCCCTTTTAGAGAGTTCCGCTTGAACCAAATTGTCCCTCCTAAATGGTGTTGTATTAGGTCTATACGGCACATGGCCAACCCACTTAAGTCTATTTTAGCTAATCCTATCGTCTATTTAAGCCACCACTAAGTTCCCTCATATGTATTCATTCCAAATCCAATTATTTATTCTCTTGCCACTTTTGCATGTCAGCATCCTCATTTCAGTTACACTCATCCTATGATTATGTTGCTTCTTGACGGCCCAATATTGAATAAATTAATTTCCCAGAAAAGGAAAAAAAAAGAAACAAGCAGGTAATATCCCATATATTTACAAGTGCAAGTGGTAATTGAGATTATAAAATACAAAAATAAAAAACTTTGAGTTAGAGAATCCATTTTATTATAATGAGTTTCATTTTGACTACGAAATGGATATAAAAGTCAACAAATACTTAGGCATGAAGTAAGTTCTCATTATTTTCATATTTTGTGTAAATTAATACCTCGACACGTTCGTACAACGGTCCCCTGGACATTGTCCTTTCAGGCAGTGGCCATTTAGTCCATGGTCCATTGGATGATCGGTGCAAGGCCAGAAATTGGAACACATTGATTCTGCTCGTTCCCATCCTTCGCTTCAGGGCTTGTCCCTCGGTGTGACCAGTACTGAATATTGTCGGGTCATTGGATTACCAAGTTAGGTGGGTCTGAATCGGCAATCCAGAAAAATATTAAGAATAAAAAATAAAATTGTGGTTTACATGCTGGGAATCTAGAGGGACATAAGAAACTATTAGATAAACTTAAAAAAACAAAATATTAAAAGGGGTTTAAGGGGGGAAACTGGCCGGGACCGATAGCTTCCCTGGATTGATTCCCAGTCTCGTTGATATTAGCAATTCTAGATCCACATCATTTAAAATACTGCATTTAACAAAGTAAAGAGACTTTGAAACTGTCGATCCTTATGGGTTCTTTATTTGGGCCTCGAGCCAAAATTACAATCAAATTAATGTGATTGTAGGAATTGGATTTTTCACGCATAGTCGCAATCTTGAACAATCGAGCAATAAGCCTAAGCCCCATTCCTAAACTTCGATCCAGGAGAGAAAAATTTTGAAATCACATTAGAAGTAGTGCTGCCGCCAAGGCAGGCCCACGCAGCCCCGTAAGAAGCTTTTTTCATATTTATTTCACTTTTCAAACTTTTCTTGTTTGTCATAAATAAATAACGAAATAAATAAATAAAACATATGTGAAAATATTTGTTAAAAAATTTAATATTTCTAGAGAGAGAATGGATTTTTAGAGAGAAAAAAATATTGAGTTTCTAGAGAGAGAAAGGAGATTGCATTTCTAAAGAGAGAGAATAGGTTTTAGAGAGAAAAGGAGAGATTGGATTTTTAGAGAGAATGTGTTTCCAGAGAGAGAAAGAGAGAATGGGTTTTTGAAAAAAGAAAGAGAGATTGAATTTCTAGAGAGAGAGAATGGATTTTTGGAGTGGGAGAGAGATATAGTTCTTAAAGAGAGTATGGGCTTTTAGAGAGAGAAAAAAGATATTGGGGTTCTAGAGAGAGAAAGTGGGGTTTCAAGAGAGGAAAAAAGATATTGTATTTTTAAAGAGAAAGAACGGGTTTTGAGGGAGAAAGGGAGATTTTTTTTGAGTTTTTAGAGAGAGAGAGAGAATGGGCTTTTAGGCAGTGAGAGAGAGAGAGAGATTGAGTTTCTAAAAATAGAGAATGGATTTTTAGAGAGAAAGTTTGGGTTTCTAGAGACATAATGGGTTCTGAGAGAGATAGAGAGATTAGGCTTCTAGAGAGAGAATGAGTTTTTAGAGAGAGAAATAGAGTTTTGAGTGTTTAGAGAGAATGGGTGAAAGAGAGATTGGGTTTCCAGAGAGACTGAGAGATTGGGTTTCTAGAGAGAGAGAATGGATTCATAGGGAGAGAAAGAGAGATTTGGTTTTTAAAGAGAGAATGTATTTTTAGAGAGAGATTGAGTTTTTAGAAAGAGAATGGGTTTTTACAAAGAGAAATTGGGTCTCTAGAGAGATAATGAGTTTTTAGAGAGAGAAAGAAAGAATAGTTTTTTAGAGAGAGAAAGAGATTGTATTCTTAGAGAGAGAAAGAGATTGGATTTTTAGAAAGAGAATGGATTTTTAGAGATAGAAAGAGAGATTGGGCTTCTAGAGAGGATGGGGTTCTAGAAAGAGAAAGAGATTGATTTTTTAAAGGGAAAGAGAAAAGGTTTTTAGAGAGAATGAGTTATTAGAGAGAGAAAGAAATTGAGTTTCTTGAGAGAGGGAATGAGTTTTTAGAGAGAGATTGGTTTTTTAGAGAGAGAGTGACTTTTTAGAGAGAGAGATTGAATTTTTAGAGAGAAACATAGATTAGGTTTCTAGAGAGAGAAAAAGAGATTATATTTTTAGAGAGAGAAAGAGATATTAGGTTCTAGAGAGAGAAATAGAGATTAGGTTTCTAGAGAGAGAATGGTTTTTAGAGAGAGAAAGATAGATTGGGTTTTTAGAGAGAGATTGAGTTTCTAAAGAGAGAATGGATTTTTATAGAGACAAAGAGATATTGAGTTTTTAGAGAGAGAGGGTTTTTAGAGAGAGAATGGGTTTTTAGAAAGAGAAAGAGATATTTGATTTTTAGAGAGTGAGAGAATGAGTTTTAAGAGAGAGACAAAGAGATTGTGTTTTTAGGGAGAAAGAGAGATTAGGTTCTAGAGAGAGAATGAGTTTTAAGAGAGAAAAAGAGAGAGAGAATGGGTTTTAAATTTTCAAAAAAAATTGCTTTTTGTTTTTTTTGGCTTATTAAAAACAAGAAACGTTTGAAGATTCAAGATTTTATTTTTATTTTTTTTAAAAAAATCTAAATAGGTGGGGCCAAGCTTTTATTTGGTCCGGGCCAAAACATTTTCGGGCTTACCTGGGCAAGCTGGCCTGTTGACAAGTTTTCAGGCCGGCCCATTAAAAAGACAGGACCTACCCGATAACGTATGCCTTTCTTGTGACCCAGCCCGAAGCATGTGATAGACCTGGAACAATGAAATCCTGGTATTTGGGATTCCTAGTTGATCATACAAACAAACATACCTTTGATTTGGACATGCTAGCTCCATGCATTCCAATTGTTGGAGAAGAATTACCCTAGTGGGGTAGTTCTGTAACGACTGACATAATATCATCTTTCACTCGATATCACCTTGATTGAAATAAAGAGAGAACATTTTTAGCTCAAATTTCCAATAAATGGATGCTTTGGATTTATTTTTGTAGGGGCTTTGAGTTGGACTATTCCTACGACCCATTTTATTTTTCTATTTTAAATTGATCTTAGTGTTCTAATTAAGGTTGCCAATGGTCCGCGTCGAGCCTTGAGTTTACGGCCAGACCAGGATCAAGATTGCATACATAGTTCGCTAAATGCAAAATAGATTAATACAACCATAAATCAATTGCAAGAAACGAAACAAAAACCAAAATAACACCACAACAATGCATGATTTACGTAGTTCACCCCATAAAGGTTGTGTCTACGGTTTCGGTAAATAGAAATTCACTATTGCCATAAAGATTGCAATTTTAGGTTACAAGAGATACCTCTATTTAAACATTGACAAAAAAACTCAACAATATTCCTTTCTAAACCCACTCTCCTAACCAAACAATTATATGAATCAACCTCATCTTTCCCACTGCTACGCCGCTATGTGAAACAAAACCATGATAGCAATCAAGAGATTTTCTCTCTCTAGAAGTAGAAGTTTAACCAACACAAAACTCCATGGGAATTATGCATCCTAGGAGGCCATGTCTCAATCTCTCTTCGAGATCCATCTTCTTGGAGGGTCTTGCTGGCCCTCCAAGAAACATCTTTTTAACATAACTCCATTGATCTTTTGAGGAAAATATTGGTATCGTGATTTGGCTA